CTCCCTCTGGAGCCTCTAGGGGAGAATCCATTTTTTGTCTCTTCCAGCTCCTGGTGGCTGCCAGCATTCCTTGTCTTGTGGCCACATGCTGCAGTCTCTACTGCTGTGGTCACATTGCCCTCTCCTCTTCTCCTCTGCCGCTCTCTCTCTTTTTAAAAAATATTTTTATTGATTTCAGAGAGATAGGGAGAGAGAGGGATAGAAACATCAGTGATGAGAGAGTCATTGGTCATCTGCCTCCTGCATGCCCCCTGCTGGGGATTGAGCCTGAAATCGGGGCATGTGCCCTGACTGGGAATCCAACTGTGATCTCCTGGATCCTAGGTCGATGCTCAACCGCTGAGCCACACCGGCTGGGCTCTCTCTCTTAAAAGGACACTTATGATTACAGTACCCTGATAGTCCAGGATAATCGAATCTCAGAATTCTTAATTTAATTGAATCTGCAAAGATTTTCCACCTATGGTAATATTCACAGGTTCCAGGATCCTAGGACCTAGGATCTTTGGGGCCCATTACTCGCCTACTACAGGCCCATGGAGGCAACAGCGTAAAAAAAGGGCCTGTCTCCAACCAGCCTGTGGCCATGGCCCTTGCCTGAGACCAGCGGAAGGCACACCACTACCTGCTTCACAAACCAGCACATCCTGGGAGGGAGGTCCTTCCACCAGGACCCTGGGAGAGGGGGGAAGCATGCTCTGCAGTGGAGATGGTGGGATCTGGAGACTCCACTGGAATTGGCTAGGACGGAATTGGGGAGTTAAGAGAGAGACATGCCCCTACCTGGATGCTGACCCTAAATCTGATTTGAGTTCGCAGCAGGTACTCAGACATGAGCCAGCCCTTGGTCTCAGGGAGCTCTCCATCTAACCCCAGAAGCAACACTGACCACAGGTGAGACCCCTATTTTCCACAGGTGGGGCAGTGGCGACCCAGAGAGGAAGGGTCATTTTTTTGTATGGAGTCAACACAAGGGCCTCTAATTTCCTCAATCCCGTACAACTGGCCATCTTCTACCTTCCACCCACCCCCACGTCATTTCTTGTCTCTTCCTCTTGGCACATTTTTTTTTTTTTTATCTTTATTGATTTCAGACAGAAGAAAGGAGAGGGAGAGAGATAGAAACACATTTTTTTTTTAATCCTCCATTGTTTACAGGGGGGTGAGGGGGGTAAGAGAGACACACACATCGATTCATTGCCTGCAACCGAGGCATGTGCCCCTGGCCAGAATCTAATCGAACCCGGGACCCTTCAGTCCATAGGCCGACGCTCTAACCACTGAGCCAGACTGGCCAAGGCTTCCTCTTGGCACTTTAAAAGTGAAATAAGGACAGTCTGTTCCGCCTTCCCCTAGAAGAGCTTGCACAGGAAGTGACTGGAGAACCGGGGTACAACACCCCTGGAGCCAGGCGGCATTTTACGCATTCAGTACCTATTAAGGCTCATTCCACACGCATGCATATTCGAGTAAGGCAGAGAAATAGGTAGCCTGCCTTCTCGGGGCCAGTTGTGGCCAGCACCCTCCTTAAAACTGAGAAAAGCTTCTGCAATGAAACTTGGGGGCCCTGGGGACAGACTGGGAAGTGGCATGTCCTAATCCCCAAGTCAACCTAAAATGGGAGACGCAGGCTTGGATGTAAAGAGAACCTTTTCATCTCAATTTTGCTCTAGCTGTGCGACTTTAAGCAAATCACTTAAAACCTCCGTGAGCCAGTTCCCGTATCTGTAAAATGGGTGGAGAAAGGCCAGGCTAAGAGGACAACTACGCATGCGCCCCTGACAACCTTTTGGGTTCGCGGGGGAGCCAACTACACGGCGCAGCGCCTCATGGGCCCGGCCCAGGCGCCCCCGCTCCCC